GGACTGCGACGAGAGGTTCAAGCGAGCCCACCAGGTGGCCGTGTTGGAGTACGAAGGGTTGAACACAACTGTGGATGATTATCCTGAGGGAGTCGTCGATTATGATGCCTCGCATCGCGATGGAACCGTAAGTTTTTCAACCAGATTTGAACTTATGGCATGTTTTGAAGCTTGAAATAGCCCATAGTTAAAGCCTAACCATTTTCTCTTGATTCGATTGTTTTGCACATTGCAAAGGGATAACTGCGAACATGGGCGTAGCCAGGAATTTTCCTAAGGGGGCCCGAGAGCCAGTTTGTTAAACAAAGAGGTAATTCTGTACTGGACAAATGGCCAGTAATAATAATGTAATTTTTGAAACTTAATGTATGCAGCACGAATTGGGGGGAGGGGCGTGCCCCCCTGCCCCCCTGACTACGCCCATGTATGAAAACTTATGATCGACTAAAAGTTTTTTGGTTTAATTAAATGTCGTGTTCACTTGAAAAAATTTGCCAAAGGAAACAGATAAATTAAATGCCTAATTAAAGTCCTTCTTAATGGTTTCGACAATAAAACTGTAATTAAATTAAATAGAAATTAATTAAGTTAAATGGGAGGGAAGTTTGCCTGAAGACGTTGCTTATTGATATTTCGGAATGCTAATACAAACATGCACATTTAAAATTTAAACTATCCAAAAAAAAGTCAACATAATTCTACAGGGCGATTCACAAATGGTGACCAAAAATGAATACTCGTATTCTTTGGTGAATTTTAAAACAGTGTTAAACTTATTTAAACAAATATTTTAAATTTTTTTAAATAACTTAAAAACTACTAAATAAAATAATTATTTGTGAATCATCCTGTATAGTTCTAAAAAAAATTGACAAAAATAAAAATAGTCTTGGTTTGATGACCCTAACGAGAAATCTAATGAAGTCGAATCGATTTTACTAGAATAATGTAGTTATATATTTTTTTAGCAAATAAATGCTTTGAATCGTGGTATTGAAAGCAATTCGACCTACATCAGTATGCCCCAGCTGGAGTCATTGGAAAAATGGGACACTTCTTTAAAGTCAAAACCTGATCTTCAGTATTATATTGCTTACGATTTTTATGAGCTGGACAATTCTCACTTTCATAAAGCACCATACTACGGATTTAATAACAGTAAGTATTTAGATAGAATAAGGCTTGTGCGAGAGAGGGGCCTGGCGTATTATTATTATTATCCCGTACGCCAGATTCTTCTATTTGATACTTTCTATTAAATTTTTGTTTTTTTGTTTCAGTAAGTGATATAAATCTGGCCCTGCTCACACCCCAGTTCAACCACATCTCCATGAAGACGCCTTCATTTCCGCTTCTTCCCCAAAGAAATGAAATAACTAAGGACATGTTCTGTAATAAAGATACCGTCAAGGACAAAAACTGCGTCGAAAATTACTGCGAGTGCCCTCACGGTATACACGTAAGTCACATATCTTTTCTGTTAGATGTAAAAATGTTTTTGAAAGAAATATATGAACAATTAAATCTAATACTTTCTAAGCTATTTCTGGTGTACCTCAAGGATCCACCAGATTCAGAACACTGAAAGCAGATTTACTACTCGGCTTTGTAAAAATAAAGTAAGCGGTAAAGTAAAGTAAGCATAAGACTTGTAGTTTTTCCGGAAATCAAGATAAACCGTTTTTTACCCTTAAAAACTCACCCCCTTCCCCTTCCCGAACTCAGATCGCCCGTAAATTATTTTTCCTTTTATTTCTGTTATATTCTCTTCCTTTTCCAATGGG